TTCACAATTATTCAAGCAATGAATTGCATTTAAATCACATACCCGTAGCTGTTTTTTAGGGTAACCTAACTTTATTACTCGTCTTCAACACTGAATTATTAAGTGAAGTTGATTTCAGAGTTACTCCGGTAACAATTTAAATACATGTTTGTTAGCAGGTCCAAGAAACAAAATACTTAGAGGAAATGTATTAGAATGATTAACCATGCAATTTGTCTAAAGTAATAGGGCAATTATTAATAACTTACAGTGCAATGACTAATACTTAATAGAGATGTTCAAACTGTTCCAAAAAACAGGTGCTTCACAAAGCATGTAAGCACAAACACTGTTCTTGAAGTGTTAAAGCAGCTACATCCTTTTCAGTGCTGCTTCAGAGCTGTGCATGTGTGCACACAATCACATTGCCTCCCTGCTAGTCTCATTGGAAGTGTTGTCTGTGCGTGCATATCCAGACACAGAAGCAGCTGCAGGAACCTTGGAAAAACTTGTGGATGCTGTAATACTTTATTTATGCAGATACGAAGCAGATCTTTCAAAAGCCGTTGGCCAACAATCTCTCAGCAGGAGAACCAGAGATGACTTTGTCTTGGGATTTTCCCAGGGATTTAGTTTAGTGCAGGGTCTTTCAAACTTGGCAACTTTAAGATGCATGGACTTCAACTCCCAGAGTTCCCCAGGCAGCTGACTGGGGAATTCTGGGAGTTGAAGTCCACCCATCTTAAAGTTGCCAAGTTTGAAAAGCACTGGTTTAGTGTATACCTCCTGAACATTTTGCTACCCTGATTGTGTTCAAAACTAAACACTTCGACAAATAAACAAGAGGTTGATTGAGGTCTGTTGCATTTTCATACACACCACACATGTACACGTACATACACATTTAGAATTCAGAGAAATATTGTCATTACTGAAGTATTAAGTGCTTCATAGAAATAATACCGTTGGCTTTCTTTATATGTCATCCTGAAAATGAATTTGATTGTTGAAGAAAATGAATGAATTTGTATCCTGGCAACCTAATGGAGGAGGAGACAGCCACTTAAACATGGTATTGAATAATGTTAAAAGGCTAATAGCTAATAAAGAATCTCCTTCTCCCTTATTTTTAAAAGAATAAGACTGACTAGAGAAATAAAAGCAGCAGAACGCGATGTTTTCTATTCATTTTCTCTGCATACTACAACTGGTTCCGAATGCTTGATTGTTTGCCTGTCTTTAATTAAGTGTGGGTAAAACATTATGACGGAGACGTGCCTGGAAGGTAATTTGCTCATTTGTTAAATACGGTGTTTTATAACTTCATGAGAACAAAATTTAGATCTGACTATCACCTTGAGGAAACTTAAACAGTGCAGTACTGACCTCCAGTTATTACACTCCGGGTTCTTCAGTTGCACTGTGGTTTCATCATTCAGTATTCAGTACAGCGTTCCACGTATAGAGCTCTGCTTCACCCTGTGAGCTGACGTGGCCAGAGGTTCTCTGCAGAGGATGGTTGCCACCATAGAACCATAACTTGCCTGCTCCCTTTTACATCCCTTGGATCATACAGACCACACAAAATAGTTTTGCGCGGTGGAACTTTCTCTGACTTACTGACATGCAGTGCAGTATTTGATAATGGCAAAGCAGGAACTGAACAATAATCTGAGCCGTTGCAAATATTTGAACAGTGCTGAGAGACTTACTCTTCTGTGGTCTTGTATGCCCCATCATAATTTTATGGAAGTTGATGAGAGCAAAGGGATCTCTGTATTAATAACTCTGGTTCTACCCCTGATAGTAACCTGCACCTTACAATTTTTTTGTGGGGGGAGGGAGGGTTTAGTAGCTTTAGTGTGTATATGTGTGTGTCTTTCAAGTATAAGTAAAGCAAATGCATTTTCAGAGCTACAGGAGACCTCTGCAACTTAATTAATAATAGTGCTGAGGTTTACATTTCCAACAAGAACAATGAGCCTTGGGGAAAGGCAACATTTTTCTGTGAAAATAATTACTCTGCTTGTAGAAAGCGGCTTGTAGAGAGAAGGTGCACGTTGTTCTGTGCACCTAGTACTGGCTACAAGTTTGTTGTCCCTGGTTTTTTTTTCCCCCCTATTTAAAGCAAAAGCATTTCTTCCATGTAAAAGAGCATAGCCTATCAAGAAAATCATATTAAGGTGACAGTATTTCAAATAAATATTTCAGAACAAATGCAGTATATCTTGAATATGGTAGCTCCCTTCGTATCAGTGTCGACTTTACTAAGAGGAAGAATGATTTCTCAGACAAAATATCATAAATATTGCAGGTGGTTGGGGCTGCAGAGAGACTGACGCTAGAGTGGCCTGCTTCATTATGTTCTGCAAAAGGAAAAAGAAAAAGAAAAGTTCCACTGAGACCTCCCTGAAAAGGGGGAGGGGACTTTTATAAGGAAGTTCATCAAAATGGACTTCCCCAATTTTTTCAGCATTAAATAACATAATACAAAAATGGACTAAAAACTTTATTCTTAATTTCTAGGAGCAACTGCTATTAAGTAGGGAAAGCAGGCTTTCAAGAGAACTGGATTTGAAATTTACTTTCTGATGAAACATTAACATGATTTTATGATAATGGCTAGGCACTGTTTGCCTGTAGCTGTTGCTTCTCCTTGTACCAAACTGGGTGGGTGACCCTAGATCAAGAAATATTTAAGAAGTTCACAAAGTGACAGAATTAGTATATAAAAACCCGGGTGACCATTTAAAGACTATCAAGCTCCAAGATATCTGGCAGCACTATTTTCTATTAAATGTTAGCAAGTATTTGTCAAAATCACAGATCTTTCTGTCTTAGTTGGCAGCTTACTTTCATTATGCCTGCTATTGTATATAACTCTTACTCTTCTGCTAAAGGTATTGCTTCATGGATCTATTCTATAAAATACTTCCCCAGGGGAAGCAGAGTTGTCAGCATAGTCTAATCATTGGTTTGGACAGTTGTGTCCTTTGCGTGGGACAAAAGCATGTAGTGTTATTTTGTAAATGAACATGGTTGCGTATATTTGTGTACATTATATATATTATTGTTGAAAGTCAACACGAATGCTTCCCTAAGCAAAAAGACAGGTTATGCATTGATTAATCAAATCAAATAAATTGTTACTAAGGATGCACAGTTTGAGAAGGAAAAAGGCAGAAATGTTAACTAGCTCAAATGATCTCATTCTGAATGATTGATGTGAATAATTATAAATGATTAAACTTGTTGGGATCATGGAATTAAGATTTAGCAGTGATCTGTTAGTCTATACTGATAACACTTTTGCTTGTTGATTTGTATTGGGAGGTGATCACGAGTGTGGAAGCTAACCTTTTCTTACCCAGGAATGGTAAATTGGATGATACACTTTCTAGGCAGTAAGGTAGAAATATATTTTGACATTTATCATGGGATTGTGTAAAGATAAGTTTAACTTGTTGTGTAAAAATTGGACAGCTGAAGATAGAATTGAGGAAACTTGATGTTCTTTTATCTTACATTACTAGATGGATCAAGTAATGCTGTAGGCAATGTGATGTTTAAGATGTTGTGCTAGGACAGGAAGACCCAGCTTCAGCTCCACCTTCACCCATGGACGCTCAGTGGGTGTCTTTGGGCCAGTCACTCTCTTTCAGCAAAACCAACCCCACAGAGTTGTTCTGGGAACAAACAAAACCAGACGTATGCTGTGTATATCTCCTTGAGCTCCAGGAGGACCTTTTAATAAACCAAATCAAAATAATTTTTACAGTTCAGTTTTACATGCCAGGGTGAGAAGCGTACCCTTTAAAATTCCTTATTTGAGCATTTTACCCTCTACCGTATCTTGTCACCGCTGATGTACAATATTTTGCTTTGTCTTAACATTATAACCATTAAATTGTGTAAAGGTAATGTTTAATGGAGTTCAGTAATTGAGTTAATGATCAGGTGTGAGAGTACATTAAGTAGAATGCAGCTGTTAATTTTCAAAACCCATGTGTTTCCAGATTTTGGGATAGGCTAATAGTGAAGTTTTACTTAATTAAGTCTCTGAACCATTACAGCCTTCTTTTGGGTTTTCCTTGTCACCAGAACAATTGGCTGGGTTTAATTTCCTCTACATTTCTGGTTCACACTGGCAAATGACATGGTTACAAGTGCAAGTATAAAGCAGGTGTCATAATAAAATTATCCTTTCTGGGGGATCCATTAATTTCAGGGGTAGGCAGGACAACAGCATATTCTTTCCTCAGCTGCACGGGTAGTACATAACACAAGCGTCATCTGGAAAACAATCTCTTACAGCATCTTGCATCAGCTTTCCGTCTCCAGCTTCAATAAACAAATGCGTTATTGCTCGCAAAATAGATCTCAGGATTAACCGAAAACAAAATCTTGGTTGCTTACCAACAGGTTTAATATAGATGCCTGCTTTTACTTTGTTTCATGAAGCATTTAACTCTGCCTTCCCCAACAGCTGTACCTCTTTTCAGTTCCCTTGGCTGTGTTTTAAAGTAGCTTGCATGATTGTAGAATAAGTAAAATACAGTTTGGCATTGTGTGGCTGTGGCCAGTAGGAGGCTCTAACATGCTGAAATAGAAATGGTGGTAAACCATTTAGATCTTAGCAACAACCAGTTGAGTATAGCTGGGTTGATGGAAAGGGCGGATGGCTCTCCAACAGTATATTTTGGAATTGGTTTGAAACTCTCAATTACCCCATAGTAGCCTGGCTTTAGCAAGAACATGTTTTAGATCCCAAAGCAAAGGTTTTTCTTTAATTAAAAAAAATTAAATTAAAGTTTTGAATTAAAACTTAAAATTTAAAAAAATAAAGAAGTTTGAATTTAAAAACAAGACCCTCTTATCCTGTCTTTTTTAAACGTGCATATTCACTTGATATTTTGTGGTTTTAATTATGCAAGGTCTTAAGAACCTATAGAAAATCAGTTGTGGCATTTTAAAGGTTTCAATGTGTGTAAATAACCAGAGATATTGCTTTTGCTTTGTAGTTAAAAAGACAGTGGAGAATGTGGAGGAAAGGAAGATAATCCTGCCCAAGAAGAAAGTTAAAGAGTTAAGAATATTGGATGGGAAGACTGCTCAAAATTTGTGTATGTAATATATTTTATATAGGGCTCATTTGAGCTTTTTCAGTCTTTTCAAAAATAGTATAAAGAGCATATCTATTGTTTGATATTTAGAAGTAAACCATTATAATGGAATGGGTTAAATTGTCTTCTCTGCCCTTGTTTTCATTAGCTGTATTCTGCAGAGATACCACTTCTTCCAACAGAAACTTATGAAAATAACCATGTCACAAAGATCTTAGCCACATTTTGGCTGACGTAGATATGGTTGCCTCTTCATGAGGACTCGTGTTCAATTTGGTGGTGATTGTTTCCTTTCAGGAATCTAAGAATTAAAACGTTAGAACTCAACAGCATTAACATTTTCAATATATTTGTTTCTAATACAGTTAAAAAACAAAAGCATCATTTTCAGATATTGTACAGTTATCCTCAGACTTGTATAATGCTGCTTACATTTCTAAATTATATTTTATCCTTCACTCTGTAACTTCATTGCATAAAAGCAATAGATAGTACCTTGTCTTCAGATTAATAGTACTTGATAAAATCCATACTTTTCCCCTTAAAATGCACAAGAGGCATTCATTTAATAGTCCTCTCTTATGATGGTGTGTCATTTTAGCTATTTTCCTGGGATCTTTCCGCATGCCTTATGAAGAAATAAAGCATATTATATTGGAAGTAGATGAAGCAAAACTAAGTGAAGCATTAATTCAGGTAAGTTACCATGACATTTTCTTTGAACCAAATTTAACTCTTCAGAATGCTTTTATGAAGCTCTCTGAGCATTTCAGGTTGGGTGTGGATCATGTTAAAACTCCCATCAAATGTGAGGATTGTGTGCCTTGAGAGGGGTGTGTTTAAAATTCTAGTTTATGACCAAAGTAACATGTTGAAAAATTTGAATGCAGATAATCCTTAAAAAAAGCGGGGGGAGGGAGGACCGCATTCACAAATATGCATGTTGGTTCATAATAATTTAGAATTCCTGTTTAGCATACTGCAACGACCTAATTATTTATGTCATCTCTTTTTAGTCATCTCAATAATTTAGTTAATCTGAATTTTGCTTCACTATATCCAGAAAGCATGGGGTTATAGAGAACAAGAATCAGGATAGGCAACAGTGGAGTAGATTGACAAATAGTCTGATTTTTTTATGAAGTATTCTGATGCTGCATATAATAAAAAATATAATAAGCAGTCATAGAATCAAAATTGTTCAGTACACCAATTCAGAGCCTGTTAGAAATAACTTTGAATTGAAAACAAAGCTTTCATTTGAATTTGTGAAAGAACTCATCTGTATATGTTATGATAGGTTTAATAAAGAAAAGCCACAAATATGGCCAAGAACTGCGTAACTTAATGAGATGTTTTGAGACAGGAAGGAAAGGTTATATTTTTGAATGCAAGAAAGGGCACCTGGTTCAATATTTTCACTTAACTAACCTTTAAGTGTTCAATTAACATTTTAAGAAAATAAAGTTTCTGGAATGCTGTTAAATTATTGCAGAAATGTGAAAAGTAGTTGAATGTCTCAGTTCTGTTTAATGAGTGGTTTTTAACATCACTGTGCTGACATACTGCAAAATTAGAGATATGAAGCATGAGAGATGGAATACATTGGTGTTTCAATGCTGTCACAAATCCTTGCTTTTTACTTTCCTCTCTCTAGCTGGATGTGTAAGGTGCCACTCAAAAAGAGATTTTATGTAAAATGTTGAACTATAATGTAACTATGAATGTGCTGAGATAAGGGGTTCATGTATGGAATGAGACCTGCGAACAATTGTCATAGCTACCTTGTAATGGAGACTGCATATTCTCTAAAGGCTGTAACTTTCGTTTGTCCTCTCTGCACTAATGACATTTTCATCTATTTTTATGAATGGAAGCAGTGAACGGCTCTGGAACATATTATTTAACTCAAGCACTCTTTGTTCCATCTGAGGTTGATTATTCTTAAGTACATTTTAGCTTTTGGGTATATCCTGGATCCCATAACTGTCTTCACAGTGATAACAGGGATGAGAAGCTTGAAGGCTGTTGACAGTTGGTGAAATGTTTGGTAATGATGGTTGGTTGCAATATAAATTATTTTTTCTTGCAGTTTAGTGAGAGTGAAAGAACTCACAATGTCCTGCTGTAGCAGGTGTTGATGAATTGCATTTGCACCTTGCTCCAGAGTATTTATAAAATTATTTCACTCTGCCTGATTTGTAGGAAACAGAAAAGCCAGTCACATTAAAAGTGACCTTAGGTATAGCTTCTGAGCTATTCACTGTGGCATGTGTTTTATCTTAAGTTTCTCCTTATACTCACATAGCCTATCTACACAACAAAAGTGTTTTAAGCAGATATATCTGGTAAGCAATACAGAAGTGTTGTTTCAATATTTTATTGAAACAACACAGAGCTCACAATTGCAGCACAACTGTCAGTGTGTGTAGATACTTGTTCCCTTTTGAATGTTCGCAGTTGACTATATAGTTGAGATCCGCATGCATTTTCCTTCTAAAGCACAAGGAGGATTTTTCCTTTGTGCTGTTAGGGCAAATGGCATCATATTAAAAATAGTTTCCACCTATTGTTATGCTTCCCAATGTGTTAGAGGTGACGGTGAGAGCATTCTGGCCGGAGAACTAAGAACTATTGAGCAGTTGACAGCAAACTTTGCTAGAGCAAAATTTTGTAATAATCCCAACTGGGTGCAAATGCCCACTAACAATTCTTTACTCAGTTCTGATGCTGAATGTTGAAAGTTGATCCTCCTCTGTTCCTGTATTCCCTGAACTTTCCCTCTTTTCCTATAATCTCTAAGCTCAGGAGCCTAGCTTTCTCTCATTTTCATTTTATACCTAGTCCTTGCTATCCAAAGTACATATTGCACTTTGGCAGGTGCTACAACCTTCCCCCCCCCCATAATAAATAAAATAATTCAAGGCTGTTGAAAGGAAATGCTTTTAATAAATTTGCAATGATCAGGGTGGGTTTCAATTATTAGTTAGGTATCCTTTCAGGATCTTTTTGAAGCAGCCATTATTATTTTTTTATCACCCAAAGTCTTCCAAAATATACCCTAACTGAACAGCTTATAAAACCCTACTGTTACTACCTTCATTAAGATATTCTGGAATAACAATAACAACAGCAACAACAGTTACCTGGAAGAGAATTTTATCAGTGATGGCTCCAGAATCTGGAATGAAGTATCCCTGATGTATAATTTGTAATTGTTTTGATATAAGGCTTTATAGAACAATTTTTCAGAAGGAATGAATAGGAAATGCAATTTCATGAATCACACAGAAGCGTCTCTTTCACGCCCAAGAGTGGAATGGGCATATGGAAAGAGACTATTGGCATGTTCCTGGCACACAGTCTAATGTTTCAAGGTTATAATATATCCCCCCATTATATTCAGAGCCAGGATATACACAATCCTTTGCTAAAACTCTGCAGAAATGTTTTCAGTATATTGAATGGGTGGCGAATGAAATAATTCCTAAAATGTGAATATCTCTGGATTGCCTGCCTGTGAATTAAGAAAAAAAATCTGCTTTTCATGAAGAACATAATTGCTCAATAAATATCAAAATAATCCTTTGAAGCTATAATGCATTTTTCAAGTTTAGGACATTCAAGAGACCCAATCTTTTAACTATTGCAAACCACTTTTTCATACTATTGAAGACACTGTTGTATATTTGGAGGAAGATGTGTGTGCATGTGAGACAGTATGTATACCTCTAATTGTTGACTTTCCTCCCTAGTATCTGAGAAACAGGGAGAGGACAGCAGTAATCCTAATTTTCTGTTTCTCACACTAGAACTTGGTTAAGAATCTCCCTGAACAAAAGGAACTCAGTTCCTTAGCTGAACTGAAGAATGAATATGATGATCTCTGTGAGCCAGAACAGTTTGGAGTTGTGGTACGTTGAATCGTGTCCCTCCCCTCCCCTCCCCTCCCCTCCCCTTCTGGGAAAATATATACTTCTGATGCTGGAAAGTTATTTAGAGAGGATTTTTAATTTGTTTGTTCATAGTTATAAGAAGACCAGAAATATTTTAGAATTTCTATTCTCTTAGCTTCAGAGGGAGAAAGATTCAATTGAAATTGTTTGTTCAAAGTTTTTCAGATGAGGTGCTTGAGAGTACTTATTACCAGGGTCCCACAAATTATTCTTGGGCACAATATCCAAAAATTACTTGCAATAGTTGAGAAAAATAATACAAGCATTTCTGAATGTTTTCCTTCTTGCATACCTCAAGTGTTGATTGTCCTTTTTTTTAAAGAAAATATTTTATTTTTCAAAATACAAAATATTGATAAAACACCAAAATACACTAAAAAAAAAAAAAGTCCCTTGGAATGAAAACCAAAGAAGAAGAGAAAAAGGGTAAGAAACAAAGAACAAAGTCTACTTTATATATTAAAGATATCAATATTCATTGGTTTACTAATAAATTCCATATAGTAATATATTATAATCAATACAAAATATTGCCCCCCAAATTCATACAGGTCCCACCCTACTGGTATTTCAAAGGGCCTTAAAGACCTGGCTCTTCACCCAGGCCTTTGGAGAGGATGACTCTTTCTTCCTTTCTGTTCCCCTCCGGGTTTATTTTCTTTGCCATCATTGTTCTCTTGTCTTGTTCTGTTTTTGTGTTTTCTGTGTTTTTCTTTGTTTTTAAATATTTTAACAATTGTAAACAGCTCAGAGTTGCTGGGAGTTTGGCAGCATATAAAATAATAATAATATATAATAATAATTATTATTATTTATTATAAAATATTATCACAAAATGTCTGCCAAAGTAGTACACATTGCTTCATCCTTTGATTGGTAGAAAATAATGCCTTTTACAAGACAGATCTGCTCTCCTTGCCAAATAAAGAAAAAAGGTATTAATCCCCCACGTTACTTGATCAGAATTAATCATTGCCTCCCAATAACAAGGTGGATGGACTGAGTTATAGTGGAGATAAGTGCACCATTGGAAGACCTGAAAAATCAGGATAGGGACAAATAAGGGTCACTGAGAGTCGACACCTATATAATGGCACATGATCAATCGATCTCAATAACAAACATGTTGAATTTCTACTTCTTACTAAACAACAAGAATTATGGAGGAGAAATGTCCTGTTTGAATGTTGTTAGGCTGTCAAATAATGAATGAGAAGAATTAAGCACATATTAGCTTGATAGCTTATTTGCAAATTATGCATTGACATAAAAAAGTTTCATCATATCAAGTAATCATTGACATTCAACATTTAGACCATGTTGTGTATAAGAATGACTTGTTGATATGCAGGACATTCTTAAAGGAATTGGGCTGCTTCAAGAGTGAATTTCCCTTGAGGTTGTGTCCCAAAAGATGATTCTTCCTTCAAGTGAAACTCAGCTTCTAGTGATTTTAGGGACACATCCATGAAGGTTTTTGGCAACAATACTGAAGTCTTCGTCATTCTCTTTTTCAGAGATATGTTTTCCACTGTACAGTCTAGCTAAAACTCTTAATCATGCCTGACTTTGTTTGTCATGATCATCCAAGGTTAACTAGGTGTTGCCACCTAGCTGGATGCCTAATCACTGGTCAGATGGTGTAATTAATTGGGCCACCTGGAATGTCTTTTTGCAACTTTGCTGAAGAGTGGTCTGCAGGAATAAAAGATTTCAATCCATTAATACTGCTATAAGATTCTTGGGGAGAAAAAATGGGTCAGAATAATGTTACAAAACACAAAGTATAATTTGGTTGTTTTCATCTAGTGTGTTCCTCTAAAGTAGATGTTACAGTTTTAATTGAAGCTAAAATATTGCTTCATAGAACACTACAATACAGTTTGGGAAAAGAAAACCTACATGGCAAGAAAAAAAAGATATCACTCAATTTGAACTACATTTCTATATTAACAGTTTTGTAGGTGTTGATTGCAACCACTCTGGTTTCATTTCTGTTACACTGTCAGAAGCCTTTGTTTCTTGTGTAAGTTTATCTTCCCTTAGGGCTCCATCAAGACATGTGAAAGTCTTTTGCTTTAGAACAGAATAGCCGTATTTTCTCATAGTTGTCATTTAAGCTTCTTGTTGGTCTCTTTGGATTCCCAGATGTTCTAGGCTGAGCAAATTTTTCAGAAGCTGAACAGTTCATTCCCCATGGCCCCACAGTGTAAATGGAAAACATTGGATAAGATTATGGACTGTTCAAACAACATCTTACATGGTGAAATGCTATAATTATCCAGATAATAGTCCATTTAAGAATCATCACATTCATGAAAGAATTTTGCCATGTTCAAACTAGTAGGGAGTTTCTAAATTTTTCAAATAGGATTGCTGCTCCATTTTGGGAGGGACAGTTAATCTGAGACAGTTGTTCTACTTACTTGCAAATCCACAGCTTACACAAGAATAAAATTATGTTATTGTTATATGTATTACAAAGAATTCTGCTGGACTGAGGAAAGCTTTACCTGCTTCTTGTTCTTTTCAGTATCTCTGACCCATCTTCACTGCCTTTGTATTACCATATCTGTTTGGTGTGAAACCTAATTCCATACATACACACATATGAAATGTGCTGTTTGTTAGGCAGCCTTGTTAAATGGTGGAATTAGAGGAACAAGTCAGTGCTAAGCAAATACATCTAACACTTCAGAGGTCCTATGGGGTTTGTAAGATCTGATCATTTTTGTAGATTTCTCTCATTTAGCTTGCAGTTAAATATCATAACATGACTGAAAGGACTCTTGCTTATTATAATCTGAACACCAGTGTTAAAAAGTACAGGATGGTTGAAAATGCAATTTGTATTGGAAGGTGTAGGGTTTTTTTCAGAATGCATATACCTATTTGCATATACAAATTAGGTAAGTTAATGATTAATATAAGGCTTTAATTGGATAATCAATATACCCATCAAATCTAATAAAGGTCAGAATTAGATGTTTAAAATTCATTTAGAAAAGTCACACTTTCTAATTAGGTGACTTATTATAACAGACTAATTAGCTTAATATTCTTATTTGTGCATGAAAATTGGAGCATCACATTTTCATTTAGATGAAACATTAAGATGAATTATATCTTCAAATTAGGTACAGCATTTGGAGTTATATCCTAGAATAATAAAAAAAGTTCTGCATAGAATGTGAGGAAGATGAAACTTAATGATGGAAATCAAAGAAAAGTTACTATCGTGATATTTTAAGCTTCAGATATAAAACTATTCATAGTTTTGACATTGCTTTAATGTTTCTGGTTTGGGATTTCTCTGATATGAAGAAATAATCTAGTATTTAATAAACACTTCCTGACATATTTTACTGAATTTCACCATGGTAATCTAAAGAATGCATTAACAACAAATATGCAATTTAATTGTCACACACATATCTCAAGTACAATAACTTATTGTATTTATTATTTCTTGTGTTCTCTCTACACTATTCTGCATCACTCCCTTTTGCCTTCTCCTCCTCCTCCTCCTCAGTCTTTAATCTCTATTGAAAGATCAGAAAAAAATATTAGGCAAAAAAAAAATGTATTCAGTTCTAAAATATTAGAAGCAAGCTTTTGAAACATATAGATTCCTGATTGGATTGGAACACAATTTAGAGGAATTATTTTTTCTCAATCTGACATGAATTATAGATTAATTCCTTTTAAGAATTGAATACCATTTGACCTTCACTTCATGATGACAGAAAAATAACCCTCTTGAAGGAGATCCACCATCTATTCCAGGGTGAATGTGTCTGATTATTTTATGTGGTAAAAGAAGGAAAAAGCTGTTCGGAAATGCTTTAAGTAGCAAAAGCATAAATCTATCAGATGCTTTGTAGGGAAATAAAGTACTTGTAACAGCTTTTAAAAGCTGTTGTTGCTCCCTCCTCTTTTTAATATAGCAAAGGATCAGCTTGAAAAATGAAATTCCTTTGGTAGTATTTTGATGGACAATGACTTCATAATATAAATAAACCCTCGCATAATATCCAATTGTATTCAATATCCCTGGGCACTTTACATAGTGAATCATAAAATCAAAATCTAAGTCTTATAAAATGCAAGTCTTACAACCGACAACTGTCATCATTTTCAGTCAAATTGCTTTCAAGGCTTACATGGCTTAGCTGAGTTATAATTCTACAGTGATACTAAAAACATTTAGTAATTGTATCTGTCAATGCCATTATTTGTATACATCAATATTATTTGCGCAATTATTATGCTGTTACCTACCATAATAGAAGATCTGCAGTGGAGATCAACATCTTTCTTAATGGAGATTAAATATAGTTCTACAAATCTTATTCAGCAAGATTTAGCTTATTTGATTAAGCTAATAGGATACTGAAACCAGAGTTTTGCTTATAATGGTTATCCTTTTTCTAAATGTGTATAGAAATATTTCAAATAATATCACTTTGGAAAATATCAACCTCAAATTATGGATGGTACAAGCTTTGATTGCAGTAATGAGCCTTTGTTCATTCTAAATGATAACATTAATTTATAACAGTATTAACATGCAAATACAGAAGACCCCTCAAAGATTTATGTTTCCTGACTTTAACTATGTTAAATAGTGCTCCTCATTTTCCTCTTTGAAGTGGCCATAGAAGGGGAAAAAATGAATTAGGAATTAGAAATCAATAGCATCTGTGTCTGGTCCTGATGCCTTGCCAGGAACATTTCCTCTGGATTTAAGAAATGATTGGAAGAGAGGGAAAGGCAGGATGAGTGCAGAAATACATGAAATACTAATGGAATACTAATGAAATACTAATGGAATAAGTACGACTGATGAAATCGTGATGACACCAACAGTAGTAAACACCTCAATCAAAGGACCATATTCAATTTAGAGGATTTGGATCCTGCTCTAAGTCTTTTAAGAAAATACATTAATACCAGTGTGAATGGGAAGAAAGTGAAGAAGAGGCAGAGATGAGAAGTTGAGTAGAAAATATTTATTTCTAAGTATGTGCGAACATCTTTACTGCCTCAAATGGACATTGACATTGACAAAACTATTTGGAGAAATAATGTAATGTGACAGGATGTGTTATTGGGAAGGCAGAAAAAAAAATCTTGAGATTATGTGCATTGTAATGTTTATTCAGTATTCCAGGTTCATCCTTCTTTAATGTTAAAGCTATTCTGTAATTGTATGCCAGTAATCACAAACATTTGTTATCTCTGGCAGTGCAAAGTTGAGCAAGGCAAGACTTAAGTTAAATGGGGAGGTACATCTGTAGGTACCATTTGCCTCAGATTTTGTTTCTTGGTTGCTTTAGTTAACTGTGTTGTTAAGTTGACTCCCTTGCAAATTTACATACAAAACAATAAGTCATCTAAGCTTGTAAAGACTATTAAGCTTGATAGGGAATGAATGAATGAATGAATGAATGAATGAATGAATGAATGAATGAATGAACGAACAAACAAACAAAACAAACAAACAAACAAGCTAAAAGTGATTGATGCAGTGGCGAAAGTCACCAGGCTAGAAACTGGGAGACCATCCTGCCTTAGGCACAAAGCCAGCTGGGTCACTGTGGGCCAGTTTCTCTCTCTCAGCCCCCGGAAGAAGGCAGGGGCACACCGCGTGCAAAAATGCTGCTTAGAAAACTGCCGTTTTGTCTGTGTGTGTGTGTCTGTGTGTCTGTCTGTCTCTTTCTCTCTCTATATATGAAAGAAATTAATTAGACCTGGGGGAGATTTTATTTTCCTTCAGTTGGAAAACCAACCAGTCAACAGGTACCTAGTTAAAATATGTTGTACATTCCTATGTGCATGGAAAAATCCCATAGAAGTATTGTTATTCATCTGTTTTATTGTCTGAAAAAAAGTTTTTTATACATGCTCATCATTTTCCATTCCAGATGAGCTCAGTGAAAATGTTGCGGCCTCGTCTCGAAGGAATCCTTTTCAAGCTGACGTTTGAAGAGCACATCAACAATATCAGACCTGGCATCATGGCAGTCACAATTGCCTGTGAGGAGCTGAAGAAAAGTGAGAGCTTCAGTAAGCTTTTAGAACTTGTGCTAATGATTGGAAACTACATGAATTCTGGCTCAAGAAATGCCCAGTCATTGGGTTTTAATATTAGTTTCCTTTGCAAGGTGAGTGCAAACGGTATAAGAATACTTTGTTGGAGTTCTAGTACATTTTTCTGCAACCATTTGAAATGTAGACTAAAATAACTTATTTTGCCAAAGAAACCCACCTTTTTAACTAGAATGTTACTTCTAGTTCCCAAGTCCTATCCATAGTGACAAGTCTTTAAGAGCAGGTCAGATTTTCTGATCTGCTTTTTTTTTCTTTCTGCCTAGCTTGATTTAATACCTTGAATAGTGTAGCATGAAGAACCCACAGCTTTCTATTTTAGAAATAATGTACTCTAAGACTTCTGGAAATGATTGTGGGAATCTAACTACAGCTGAAGTCTGTCGGTCCCCGACATGTTTGTATGTGAGCGTGAAGAGAGGAAAAAAGAACAGCGCTAAGTACATTGGTCCCAATCTGGGAAAATGAGAATGCAGGGTTTAATCCAAAGGACAGCTTAATTTCACTGACCATTATCCAACTGAATTGGGAAGGAAATAACATTTTTTTTAGCAGCTGCAACACAATAAATAATAGCTTTAATGCAAACTGAAAAGGTATAGCAAAAGCAGCAGACTGCTGGGGGGAAAGGAGCAGATTAAAGCATCATTTGGAAGAGCATGTTATGAAAAAGGTACCATAAAATCTTTTGTATACCCAGACATACAGATGATTCAAGCATGGATTAACCTGATTTATGGTTCCTCCTTCCCATAATTAATACTGTGTGAATTACTGGGTACATTTCTCTAAATTTAGTGGGCCATACAAGGAGATACACTTACTATCACGATATAAATATCTTAAATATATTTGGGATGGCTTTTGTTGTGGTGGTAGTATTCAATAATCGCAATTGCAACTAAGTTTTTAGAAAATGTACAGTATGCATTTGTGTGTTTGAATGAGACAGTCAAACTAATGGATTTGGCCCAAACATCAAATTCCAACCATTGTAGTTTCTCTCTGAAAACTGTTCAATCCCTAGTATTAAGGAGAAAATAAATTTGTGTCAGTATTAATCCATAATGAACATTGCTTTAATCAAGGAATAAATTTATAACGTGAATGTATTCTCAACATCAGTCACTGTTTCTTATTAGTGAATTAGGAAGATTGTGTTTATTTTTGTCATTTTTACTAAATTTTTAAGTGCTTTCCTTCCTTTATCTGAAATCTTTAAAGACTCATTTCTGTAAGATCTTGTATGTATGCAGTAGCTAAGTGGATATGTATACACTTTTTTTTGGTCCAATTCAACTATAAATTCTACTGGGAAATTTACTCCTGCTATAATAGTTGGTGTTAAAGTGAGTAGGAGTAAGAAATAATATCCTTGTCTCAGAATAAGCTGAAAATTGGGGACATTTGAGGTAAATCATTGTTTTACACATTTCACCATTTGATTATAGAGTAAATTAGTTTACTGAAATAAGGCATGCATATTCTTGCAGGTTTTGCTTTGTTTTGTTTTAATATTGTCATTGCAAAGTTGAAAATAGATAATCCTGTAAGAACATCATTAATAACAGCAGCTGAAATATATCTAGATCTGAGTCTGTGGTTCAGCTGCTACTTTTATCTACTTCTATTCTAAATGAGTTAATGAGGGCAGCCAAGATCACAGTTGTTTGGAAAAAATGAGATGAGAAAACATCTTCTTTTTAGAAAGACAGCTATATTATTTTAAGTCTAATCTGTCCTTATATTGTATATTCACGTAGTTTTATTTATGAAATACAGCTTGTAATAAGGGCAATTAAAAAGTCACAGTTCATAATCACTGTGATAAAAAAAGATTCGTGGCTGAATCTAAATGTCAAATAAAACAAACAATCTACTAATATATGGTTATAAATTGTCTGTGGGATGTAAGTCATAAGTACAGGTTGTAGATATGGCTGGCAGGGAGAAATGAACAGAAAACATAAAATACTGTAATAAAGATGTTCGTGGTATGGTATCTTTGATCATGGCATGAAGAGCCTTGCTCTTTGTGTTATTATTGGCTTATTAATTACAGAGGTGATCTGTAACACTAAATAAAAGACCATTTCCAATGTTGGCTTTGCAGTCCACGACTGGTTTGTTATTGTATCACTACTGTACAATTTGTTATACAACCACTACTATAATTAGAGTTTAAACTCAGGTTACTGGGTTTGGAACAGCACTTGAACATACATTGAGGGGGGAGGTTACCTAGAATGGGAGTGGCATAATGAGCGTGGATGGAGGTATGTAAGTTTGCAAAAAAGTTAGAGATCAATTTTGTTCGTTAAATAAGAGTTTAAGCTCAGTCTTTTTCTCCCCATACTTCCTTCTTTGAATTCCATCTCCTAGAAGCCACAGATGGCATTCTTACCCTTTCTAATTGAGTGGATTGTAGTGAAAATCCCCAATAATTTGCCACAAGGACTGCCTTGAAATAATCAACCGCAGTGCTGCTTATTTGTGCAAATCTGGCCCTAGGCATTTTCAGTCATGAACCACTGGGGAAGGGCATTTTTCAGTGGCAGATGTAGAAAGACATCTCGGAAGCTATGCATTAAACTTGTCTGGTTCTAGCTGCAAAACTAATGTCTTTATGTTGATTGCAAATCCTTAAAAATGCATTATCTTTCCGGATGTTATACTGCAGCATGTGGAATTATTGAAGAAACCAGCAATTTGTAAACAACCCTTGGCAGAGAATGCAGGACTTAATTTTGCTTAAATAAAAGACTTCCATTAGAATTCATGGACTGCATCAAGGCTGGCAAGCAGAAGTAGTAGTTTTGATATATGCACTGAAGCATTCATGATTGTTGATTCGTTGAACTGTTAATATTTATACAACTATGATTCAGGAAAAAAAAAAGTATTTGAATAAAACCATAGCCTCATTAGCAGTCAGGAGATTACCACATCTTGTGGTAGCCTTGAAAGTTTTGCATCTATAAATTGACTGGATGTTGTTGCTGTTCTAACAGATTGTGAAATGCAGTAGACATTCTGATTAGTAAGTTAAATTTGGGCTGGGTGTCATGTCTATTAAGTGGATCCACATCTCATTTAAAACAAAAGTCATATAATGTTTATAGCAGTTTCTTGTCAAACTGGAATGAAGTGTTGAATGGAGTGCAGTAGGGTTCAGGCCTGGGTCTAGTACTCTTCAGCATTTTTATTAATGACTTGAAATGGTACAGGGAGTGCTTAAATGCTTATTCTGTTAACAGAATAGACAGGGTTGGGTGAGGAAAAACATGATCCTGGTGGGTTGCAGAAATAGGCAGAACAGAACAGAGACATGTAATAGAAACCAACTGAAATATGTGCAGAGGGTAACTGGCTTGAGAACAGTACACATGAAAAAGATCTTGGAATTATATTTGATCAGAAACTGAAGTAGAGCCATCTGGCTGCAAAGAAGGCAAACACAATTTCAGGCTGCATAAATAGAAGGAGAGCTTGCAAATCACAGGATGTAATGTTCCTCTTTGTTCTGGGCACCACATTTTAAGAAGGCTTTAGCTAGACTGATAGAAGTACAAAGAAGGGCAATTAGGAGATTGGAAGCCAAGCCTTCCAAAGAGAAAGAGGGAACTGGGCATGCTTTGAGTTGAAAAAAGACCTTTGGTGGGAATACACTGGCATGGTTTAAGCATCTAAAGGGGTGACATGCAGAAGAAAGCCATAGTCTCTGTTATCCCAAAGTCCGGGGTACAGATAATGGCTTTAAGTTACAGGAAGGCAGATTCTAGTTGGTTGTTAAGAAATGAATATTTGCATAAGTTGTAAATCATCTATTATGTCTGACTTGCCACATTGTTGTTCAACTAAGAAACAACATATCCTGATAATTTTAGTGTGAGTGTGTGTGTGTGTGTGTGTGTATACATACACACACATACACATATATAATTCTAGAGCCATCGATGATCATTTATCTGAGGGATGAGAGATTCAAGCCACTCTGTGTATAGACAGCATTTCATGCTTCTTCAGGAGAAAGTCATATAAAACAAAAAATGTTATTTTTCTTCCTTTGGAACACCTCTTTATCTCACATAATGAAAAAAGAACATATAGAACTAAAATTATAAACTGCTAAAAGCTGCAATTAAAAAAAAAATAAGGCTTCTTTAAAAATAATGTTTTAAACCCACATTTCATATTGGTGTTAACTTAGAATTGCAATTAATTTACATTTGCAAGCAAGTCCAAGAACATATGTTGAGAAGGCATTTCTTGAAGTAGAGTCCTAAGAAATAATGTTTCACCTCTTTCTTATTTCTTCTCGTTTGCAGATTAGAGATACAAAGTCATCTGATCAAAAAACCACTCTGTTGCATTTCCTGGCTGATATTTGTGAAGAGAAATATCAGGACATCCTAAAATTTCCAGATGAACTTGAACATGTTGAAAGCGCAAGCAAAGGTATATCAAGAGATAAGACAGGGAGTAATTTTGATCTACTAAAATGTGGAAAGTCTTTGGAACATTGTCCATTGTTTTGAAATGTTGAATTTTGACCTTGCAGGATGGTGGAAACTGTAAAGTTGGGTAATACTAATGGATAGTTCTTTTCTAGCTGTTTATTGACTAGGAGAAAGCAAGCAAATGATTTGTTTTACTATGGTGTTAAGTATGATAATAGGATAGAACAGTGGTTCTCAAAGTGTGGCCTCGGGATCCCTGGGGACCGTCAAGACCTTTTCAGGGGTCTACAAAGTCAAATAAATATTTTTTACATTTCTCAGTTTTACTTTCTAATACAGTAAAGATTGATAGATATAACCCACATAAACTAAAGCTCGTTGGGGTCCTTAATCATTTTTAAGATTATAAAGTGGTCCTGAGACCAAAACGTTTGAGAACTGCTGGCATAAAACATTACAGTGAAGTACTTTGAAACACAGATGAGTCACCTTTCAACTCATTAACTACCTCAAAAACTTACTTTATTAACTCTGTGTGCAATTACACTATTCTATGTTTCTCCTCTGATTGAATTACTAAAATCAGAGCTTAGTAAAATTACAGAAACATTTTAACTTGGAAAAAAGAAAAGAAGTGAAAAACCTGTCCAGGTGCCCATCCACATTTTGCAAAAAGAAAGAAAACGCTTTGTAAAATGTAAAAAGGTAATAGGCATTTAGCCTACATAAATTGATGGCATTAGCCTTCTTTTCATATGATCCCAAAGGAGCAGAGCCGCAGAATTTGCCTTAACGTTGATGTCTGTAACTATACTATACCCTGGCCTTCGGCTGCTGCTGCTTAATGCCAGGTCAGTTAAAAACAAGGCCCCCATCATAGGTGACTTGATCAGTGAGGGGGGGGCAGACCTGGCATGTATCACCGAGACCTGGCTGGGGCCTATGGGGGGGGTGCCCCTCTCCGAAATGTGCCCAGCTGGGTTTACAGT